GTGACTGAGATTGTTTAAACATGAGCTGTTGTGGCAGTTTTCTGAACTTTATATCAAGTTGTCCATTGTCAGCTTGCAAACAAAGGCAGTTTTAGTTCTCAGTGATTTCTAGTCAAAGGATGGGAAAAAAATAAAAAATTGGAAACATGTTTGGAGGGTCCCAGACAGATATTAGAGGAAACAAGAATTCGGGATCTAGTCCAATTTACAAGTAGAAAACAAAATAAAACTCAAAAGATAATAAACGGTATAAGAATCTAATGTCTACAAAGGTATATTATAATTTCTACGGAAACTTTTTTTCTCTCTCTAATCACCTTTTTTTATTTTATTTTTAAAATTTCTTTATTTTTACTCACTTATTCTTTTTTCTTTTTTTAAATGTCAGTTTATTTATTTCCAATTCTATATATACATAATTTTATTTAACAGTTTATTTTTTTATTTTCCCTCTCCCTTCTGGTAATCACTAGTCCATTGTCCATGTCCATGAGTCTCTGTTTGTTTGTCCTGTCCATTTGTTGCTTTGAGGTTTATATCCCACATATGTGATATTATGTGATTTTCAACCTTTTCTGTCTGGCTTATTTCACTTAGTATTAATCACCTTTTTGAAAAAAAAAAATTACCAAAGATAGCTATATTAAGACTAACTTATTTCAAAATAAGTTGTTTCAATAAATTTGGCCTGATCATTTAAGTTCAACAAGAATATAAATTAACCATATAGGCATTTTTAATTCTGCTTGGGTGGAATCTTTTACAAGGAATCTTCAGATTGAACTTAAAAGGCTATGAAAGGCCAGAAAAGCCAAGGCCAGGACTTGCTTTCAAAGGATGCCTGTAATACCTATAGGTTTTGGGTGATTTCCTATCTTCTTGAAGTCTCCAGAATATCTTGAGGTTGGTTCCTGCACCTGCCAAGAAATAACATTCTTTATTCACATTGTAGGCTGCTGGGAACCATGTAAACAAAGAACCAGGCCAGTATTTCCAAGGGCTTTTATTGGCTTCCATAAGTCAATCTTAATTCCTTAATGCTGTCTGGTCATATCCAAGTCTATGCATTTATTTCTCTCTCAAGCATGACATTCCAGTCAAAGTTTTGGTAATAAAAACCATGTTTCCAATCTATCCTGTTATAAAGAGAACAGATTCTTATTGAACTTATGCAAATAATTACATTGCCATGAAAATAAAAATACTCATTTAGAGTTTCTAGATTCCAGAGGGGTCGATAGGGAGAAAAAATAAAGGTTCCAATTCTGTTTACAATTTATCTAATTGTTAAGTCATAAGTAGTTTCAAAAAATAACTTTCTTTTTATTTGAACAACAAAAGATTTAAAAAATTAGCAATATTTTCAATAAAAATTTATAAAAACATAATCATCCATAGTTCACTCAGTGCCATATAGTTAATCTTATTTATTTTGATCACTTGCCAGCATTTCATGAATATAGTTATTCCTTAGAGTTCTATAAATCTCTGTTCATTCTAGGGTATAATCTAAAAGTTTACTCTCAGAGGCTTGTATTTTGGGATGGGTCATAGTCCTCTCTATCTTTCTAAAGATGAAACCTATTTCTTAAAGTATCAGTAAAATAATGACTGTCCGTAAATGACAAACTTAAAATGACATGATTATAGGTCTGATTATAATGTAATTGACAAACAAATGTTTTTAAGAAACAGACTAGAATTACAAATAGAAACTATATCAGGATGTTGCAGATTACTAGAGATCATAATCTGAAAATTCACTTTAGTAATAAGAATGATACATGCAAATACAATATAATTATTATTTCTTCATTTAAAAAAGCTTCTCAGGTAACTTTAGTATATCAAACAGGCCAAATTAGTTTAAATTTTCTCTTTTATAAAGAAAGAGAGCAAGTCTTTGAGGCATTGCAGGGGTCCACTGGACTAACCCAAGCCATTTCCAGGTTAAGAAAAGTCTTTGTTTACATTTTGTACTCTGGGAAATTTGTCAAACACACTTGACTAGAAGATCATATTATTTTGAAACAATATTAAATTACTCATTTACTCAAAGTGACAATAGAAAACTTTAAATATAAATACAGAACTTTACAAAATATTAGCAAAACTTAGTTCTTACTATTGTAGAGATTCAATTTCCTTAAGTAGCCAAAGGCCTGATTAAGATAACATAAAACATAGAAAAATATTTTGATCAAACACAGAATCATTGTTTCCTAGGCAGATAGTTTTTTTCATAGTGTCAGTAGCAGACCAATAATTCTAGAACCTCGGTTCTATTTAGTAGAGGGAGAAAACAATTCTAATTTTTCATCAGCTTACTTTTGATATTTTAATTAACTTACTCTTTTTAATTTATTTTAATATTATTTACCTTGACCACATAAAAATTCCTTTTTCAGGATTCTTTTTCCAAAAGCCTTCTACAACTTTTCTAGTCTTTCTTAGTTTGTTTCTTCTTGCTCATTTAAAAATAACCAAGTTTATTTTAGGACAAACCACTTTTTTTTTTTCCAACTCCTTCAAAAACGTATTTCCATACCTTGTACCTTCCTTCACTGAAAACACATTTCCTTCCATAGTAATTATAATTCACGACCCTTAGAAGCTGGACTTCTAGTGACAACTAAAAGTATGCAATTAACATTAATATATCTCATTTACTCACATTCATACATTTTCTCTGAAGAGGTCTATTCTGATATGTAACATGAATGCCTTGATGTAGTAGATCTCATCCCATTTACCAGACCTTAAACAGAATAATGAAGTTCAAAACAAAGACAAAATCCAAACAAATGAATACGCAAATATCAAATCGAATCCTCCACAAGGTATTGTAGGCATCCTCTGATGGCAAGTCCTGGCCTTGGCTTTTCTGGCTTTGCGAGGCCTTTTAAATTCAATCTGAAGATACCTTGTAAAAGATTCCAGCCAAGCAGAATTAGAAGCACCTAGTCTACTGCCATGCCGCCCCAAACCGCGGATCTCATCTGATCTTGGAAGTAATCAGGGTCGAACCTGGTTAGTATTTAGATGGGAGACCACCTATGAAAACAGGTGCTGTAGGCTTTTTCTTTTTCTTTTTCTTTTTTTTTTTTTAATAAATGCCTATATGGGTAACAGATATTCTTGCCGAACTTAAATGATCAGGCTAAATTTATTGAAACAACTTATTTACAAATAAGTTAGTCTTAATATGGCTATCTTTGGCAAAAATTAAAGATTAGCGAGAGAGAGAAAAAAATGTTTCAATAAAAATAATACCTTTGTAGACATTAGATTCTTATACCATTTATTATCTTTTGAGTT